AGATGACTCCTTCAGGACCAGTGGTGAGAGGGGTGATGCCTGGAGGGGGAAGGGAATGTGGGGTAGAAAGAGAGAACCGATTACAAGAATCTAAATATTGCCTCCTCCCTTGGGGAGGGACAGCAAAGGGGGCGGGGGGGTCGGACAGTGTAACTTATGACAAAACTATAATAAGTTATGAATTAGGAAGGGTTCATGGGGGAGGTGGGAGGGGGGTGGAGGGGGAAAATGAGCGACTGATATTAAGGGCTAAAGTGGAAGGCAAATGTTTTGAGAATGATGAGGGCAACAAATGTACGTATGTGCTTGACACAATGGATGTATGCATGGATTGTGATGAGAATTGTATGAGCCCCCAATAAAATAATTTTTAAAAAATTTGTCCTAGTACATGGAAGACATGTCCCTAACTTTTAATGTTTTTCTTACTCCTATTTCCAGTGTTTACTTCTGATTCATAAAAATGTGCATAAGAATGTATGACTAAAGAAAGACAAAACATTAAAAACTAGAGACAATATTCCGAAATACTTATGAGTCCATCTTTTCCATTTATACATGCAATATTATCCCTCTAAAGGAGCTCTTATAAGCTTTGGTACATATTTTTTTCCCTTGCTTTAACTTTTATTATTTTAAGCTTTCTGGTACATATTAATTCTGGAGACATACAATAAGAATTTTAATATTCTATTTAAGTCTTGAAGATTGGTATCTTTTTCATCTTACAGCATCCATGGTCACTTACAATCTTCATTTTAGGTAAATAGAAATCTTTACAGCAGACTGTTCAAGCTCATTAGAGGAAAACTTCTTTACTCTCCTCAGTGACAGGCACAGATGGTACATTTATAATTTATAAGGCTCCTTTAAAGAACATTAAACAACTATTACTTGAATTATACAATTCCTTGAATGAAGTAACCCTTCACCTTCAGATATTCCTTCCAGATTATCACTGCAGAGGGAAAAGCGCAAGGTTTTATCAGGTTTACCGTGGAGTTTGTTTTCATCAACAGGGACATCGCCTTGCCCTCCATCTGAAAGTTGCATGTTTAGGACCTAAAAAGCAAAATCCCAACTTCAGGTTTTATCACAGCTAAAGAGTACTGATAAGAAATAAACCACAGCAAATCTACACGTAAGCTCTTTTTCATCTTAAATGGTTTTAACTAGAACCAATTTACAAAGTTGTGATCAAGCATTTTAAGTACCTCTGGAATAAAAGAATATCAATTTTAAATAACCTGAATCTATGCATTTCCATTGCCCTTTCATTATTAGGGAGTCACTGAACAGTGCAAATGGTTAACACACAAGGCTCTTAAAAGAAAGGCAGTGGTAGGAGTCGACCCAGAGGCAGATTATGTTGAGTGAAAAAGAAAAATATATGATCCTTCTTCCATGAAATCTCTAGAATAGGCAAATTTTTGAAGTTCAAGGAAATTTTCCATTATCTTTTAATTCCATTTTTTCCCAAGAACTTTTGAAGCCCCTGCCCGCTCTTGTAGAGATCAAAGTTTATTAATGATAGCCAGAGGCAAGAAATAAACGAGAAGGAAGATATAATGATAGAAGGCCAATGAGCTTCAGGTCAAGGTTGATGAAAAATTTTGGAATATTTAATGGGGATGGTTGAACATATTTAATGCCACTGAAACATACCCGTGAAGACTGATTAACTTATATCCCAGAGTTCTGAAAGAGTTGATTCCAATAATTTTTGCCAACTTATTCAATGCTTGTTGGGTGGCCTGGTGAAGTTTGGAGCTCCCTAGTACACTGAGAGTTTTCTTCCCTACTAACCATGTCATATGTCATAACCACAAATGCAAGTTTACTAAACACCACCATTACTTTATGTGTCGGAATGGCAGTGCATTTTTGGAGTTTTATAATTGGATGCTTCTTTCAAAGCCTGGAATAGATTCTCCTAAATGATAAGAAATAACTGGTAAGGGAGGGGGGTATGAAGTTGAGAGCCTTGATTGTTTAACTACACTCAATGAGAATACACAACTTTTTACTGCTTTTTCAAGATGTCAAAATCCACAAGAGGCTCCAACCCTTAGGTTATTAGGATTGTTTCTGTTGTCTCTGTCCCAAACTCTTGTGCTTATAAATATCTTGAAACTGATTTTCACACCCAACTCATACTTCAAAATATTTAACTTCTTAGGTTTCCTCTGTTATTGCTTCCATCACCTCCTGACCAGCCAAATAATAGAAAAGTATTTCTCAAGGAAATACTTTTGGATCCTTCTAAAGCAGGAATACCACTAGTATATCATTAGAAAAAAAAATAATCAAAAGATTTCCTTCTGGTCAACTGGGTTCCTTCAATTTCCATACTACAATGTCCTGGCTTTCTATCTCTTCTACTACCAGGAAAATTCCTTTTGGTGTGTTATCTACACTGGCTTCTGTGCCAAAGGTGTATTAATGTGATATGCTTCCAGTGCTGTTCAAAGTTTAGCATTTGATGGTTGGTATGCCACAACAGGCTTTTTGTAGATAATTATGACTATACATGAAAGCATATTAGCTTAAATTAAGTAAATTAATTTCTAAAAGTGAGCATTTATTAGAAAAATTTTCCTTAATTTTTTAACCTTGATTACTCTAAGCTAAATGCAACAATTCATTCATACCTCATTTTCAGACATCATCCCTGGAGTAAGCTGGGGACCTGTCCCTAAGGAAATGACCAAAACCTCTTCTGGTTGTACTTCATGGATGGTTTCTTGAGATGATCCTTCATGATCCATATGCTGGTCCATTAGCATATTGGTACGGCTTCTACTCCGAGTCGCTAAAAAATTTTTCAAGTAAAATAATTTAGAGAAAAAGACAAAAGGAAGAAAACTGCAAACCAAATACAAAAACATATTTTCTATTAGTATAAAACATTTGCTCGTGCAGTAAAAAAAATGATGAAAATATGGATTAAAAAAAAAGACTACTATCTTCCCAGTTCCTCTACTGATGACTAATACAGATTCTCCTTCAAAACTGATCATCAGAAACAATGATCCAAGTCCACCTGACAGGGAAAGCCACATAGATGATCACACCTGAAGAACAGCAAACACGTCCCAATCAATTTAAGACTTGGGGCGACATGAAAAGCATCATCTTATTTCCAAGATCCTTTGAAATATTTTTCCTATAATAGGATTCAACTGTTACAGGTATCCCATGTATAACTAAACTTATAAGCACATGAAAATTTCATGTGAAAATTTAATGGAATGTAAAGGAATATATTAGGTAGCTATTGATAAAGCTGAAATATGTTTGGACATGTTTTTTCCTGCTTTATGGATGTATACTAAATTAATAAAGGATCTAATTACTGTTGATGTCCCTTCTACTAATATACATAAAACATTAACACTTTTTTTAAATAGTAATATTTGTATTCTTATTTCAAAAGAGCCATCCCCTGATTTTTCAAGAACATTTAGATACTGAAGTATCTTCTGAAGATTTAGTTTATGAAAAATTCTCTAAGACTTTTAGAGTTCTGTGATAAATTTCAATGGGCCATAAATTTCAATGCAATCAGAATGCAAGACAGAAAACCTCAGTACAGAATAATATTTTCTAGGAGTATAAAATATTTACTCATGCATTAAAAAGTGGTTAATGTATTAACTAAAAAACACTATTTCCTACAGTAACAAAAGTTTTTCAACTTTACTTTGAGCAAAAGCTGACCTACTTTGACAGAAGGAATCATAAATATAAACCACCTTCCCTCCACAATAGATCCATTTATTAATGATTTTCAGTTTCAATATTCAAAGTACACACCAATTTCTAAGTCTAAAATAAGGTCATTCCCATCTTTTATTTGATGGCCCTCATTGTCTTCTAATTAATTGTTAAATTCAGCTTCAAAAATATGTAGATGAATCATAAGGAACAAACTTTATGACTATGAAAATAAAATCAAATTTCACATGACAATTTACACAGTAAAAGTAACATGCATATGGAGCATACTTTCATCAACTATTTTTAAAATAAAAAGTATATGAAAATAGGAAGAACAACCTATTACCCACCAAATGGGGTTACTAGAGTAATATGAGCAGTAAGATTGGTGGCTGAGGAATCCCAGGCAGTGATGGCGGCTAACTGTTGTCCTGGGTTGCGAAAGCATTAAATAGAAAAAAACCAACCCTTTGAACAATGGTACATTTTTAGAAATATATGTAAGTGCAATGACCAAGTCAAACGACTATACAAAATACTACTGAGCAAGTATTTGAAATTTACTTTCCACCAGACCCATATATATTGACAGTTCTAAATAATAAAAAATTAAAGAATACATAGCAGTGAAAAAAAGGGTGGGGGATTCTCTGGTATTTCAAAATCACTTATTTCTAAATGTTCACAGGTTATAAATATAATACAATATTTTAAAACCACTGAGTATAATTTTTTCTATTTAAAATTCTTAAAAATTCCTATTTTAGGATGATGAAAACCAAAGATTTATAGTCCTATGAGGTCATATTTCTGTTGAATATACTAGTTATATTAAATGTAAACTAATTTTAAGAAACTGTAAGTTAATAAAGAAGCTCATAGAAGTTGAAAATGTAATCCTTCTTTAAAATTAATGAAATACAATAACAATTCACAATCACTGTTACTAAACTCTTAATTATCACTAAGAAATTGGCACTATAATACTCCTGCTCGCTTCACCTAAACACTCACTGATATCTTGTTTATTTTGTCTAATTCCCTTTTATCCTTCAAGATAAAATACAATTTTCATCTGCTCCAGGATCCTCCTGATACTACGCTCTCCCACTAAGTTAACTGTTGTTAAACTCACTATTATGCTTACCTCCATCAGAGCACTAAGTACACTAAAGACTACTGGTGTTTTATTTTCCCCAATTAAACTATGAGCAACTAACTTGAGAATAGGGTATATATTAATGGTCTTTATATTATCAGTGTCTAATAGATAGCACTTGATTATACTTACCCTTGTAGGATTTCTGCATGGAGGAGATTAAATTATAGAGTATTTATGAAATGTGTAGTACATAATGATGTATGCTCAATTTATGTGTGAGTGTGTAGACAATAATAATGGAATAATTATTATCTACTTTATTGGTGAATATGATTTAAATTGTTTTATTCTATTACTAGATTCCAAAATAACACAAACTCACAGCCATGGAGTCAATTTCAACTCAGAGCAACCTTAAAGGACAGATTAGAACTACCCTGTTGGGTTCAAGACTGTAAGTCTTTACAAGTCTTTCCCCTGTGGGTTCAAACTCCTACATTCTGGTTAGCAGCTCAAAGTGTAACCTATACCACCAAGTTCCTTGTAAGATTACTACAGTTTTATCTAGAACTCTGTAAAACACAGAGGGCTACAAAATGTTATGCATGAATAAACATTTTCAAAAGATTTTTTACAACAGTAATGTAAACAAAGTACACTTTACGTGGTATTTTTCAATCAGTTATAAGATAAAACTGGTGTCTACTGACAAATGTTAGCTAATGTGCTTGTATTTTTAAAAGATAAATTACCATTAGAAAGTCAAAGAGAAAGATTTTCAAGTTATCTAAAGCTATATTCTGAAACAGTAACCAATGACAAAAGCAGTCAGAGAAACAGTACATTTAGGAGGAAGTCCTAAGATGAGAAGTGCTGTTTACCTATGGGTAATCGATTCTTTTTATTTGCTGGAGTGGTTGCTGGAGACAGTTGAGGAGTACTGTAGGGAGTCATTTCCAAACTGCTGCTTTTTCCTGGCTTGGCCTGGGGTAGGTTTGACAATAAATTGTCAAGAGCCATTCTATCCTCTCTCAGTTGATCTCCAGACATTACACTCTTCATAAAATTTACCTGCCAAAAGTGAAAGACGATTAGCTAGCAAAATCAGATTTTCAAACACGAAATAGGCAATGTACTTATGCTGAGCTAAATAACTTTTGAAAGAATGCTCATAAACAGTAGAAACTTTACCAGAGTAATAAGCTGACCGTAGGTTATATAAACCACAGTTCGGCTCAATCCTTCCAGAAGATTAACAGAGGACATTGGAGGTGTCTCCACTGCACGGCCCCCAATGACAACATCAAGGAAAGCAGCAACACAACTCTATTTAAAAAAGGACAAGTTCACAATGAAATATCTCCCCTTTATAATATTAGGAATGAAATAAAATAAAATAAGACAATGAAATAACTCCCCTTTAAAATAAAGAGGACGTACACTGGTACAGATAGGAACTGAAAATACAGGGACTCCAGGGCGGATGAGCCCTACAGGACCAGTGGTGTGAGTGGCGAAACAGGGAGGGTAGAGGGAGAGTGGGTAGGAAAGAGGGAACCGATTACAAGGAACTATATGTGACCTCCTCCCTGGGGGACAGACAACAGAAAAGTGGGTGAAGGGAGACGTCGGACAGGGCAAGATATGACAAAATAACAATTTATAAACTATCAAGGGCTCATGAGGGAGGGGCGAGCGGGGAGGGAGGGGAAAAATGACCTAATGTCGGGGGCTTAAGTAGAGAGAAAATGTTTTGAGAATGATGAGGGCAATGAATGTACAAATGCGCTTTACACAATTGATGTGTGTATGGATTGTGGTAAGAGTTGTATGAGCCCCTAATAAAATGATTTTAAAAAATAAAATAAATAAAAATTTCTGCTTAAGATAAATAAATATGCAAAAAGTTTTATATCTCAAACAACCAATTCGAAAAAAATGTTAACTTTTCAACATATATAGAACAACTTTCAAGATATTATGGTAGGTGAAGTAAACATGATGCAGAACAATATACACACTACTTGTCAAAAGAGGGGTGGGATGAGTGGGAGAACATATGTCGAAATTTGCTGGTATACATATAGGCCTCTGAAGGATACATAAAACACTGATCATATCAACAACCTTTTGAGGAGGAAATGAAGACTAGAACTAGGGTTGAAAGGGAAATTTCACAGCTTACTTTGAATTTTAAACCAGTTGAATATACTGTCTACTCAAATAAAGTCAATTAAACTTGTGTTTACTAATTAACTGAACAATACCATAAATAATTAACTTATATAACACCCTTAAAATTATACCACCGTGATCAGTTTACATACCTAATTATTTGAGCTTTTCTATTAAAATAAACTTTAAAAAATAATCGTAAGAGTTTTTTGATTCTCAATACGAGTTAGTAATCTTTTATGACCTCTTCCTTTAAATGTTGCTGATTCAATAGTGCCACATGCGCGCACACACACGAGATAATTGAAAAGCACTTGTATTAATATTATCTAAGCATAGAATTTAATAGAGAATAATTAAATTCACTAATACACTGGTACAATTTTCTATAAGCGGTATTTTACATGGCCTAGTATTCATTTTTACTTTGTCAAATTTCCCAAGGCTGTTTTTCGTCCGAGGATCTCCCTCTTCAGAACCAGTCATTGCTAACTGCTGCAAGAGGCGGCCAACCTAAAAGCCAAAACAGTGTTAAGGAGACATAATTAATTAACCCTTACAAAATTTCCTTCCATTCTTGTCTGAAAACCTGTTCAACAATTCATCCCGCCTGATCACACATACAAAACAGGTCTTCCAAAAAAACCAAACTCACTGCCATTGAGTCAATTCCAATTCATAGTGACCCTAGAGGGCAAAATAAAACTGCCCCTGGGGGCTTTTATTTATTAAAAGCTGACACAAACTATTCCAATCTAGTATAATTTTTCCCTACGTAGTTTATAAAGCACTCAAAATAAAGCATATTTTTCCTAAATTTAACATCAAAATATTCCTACAGAATATAAACTGTCTAGTAAATACTAGTAACCAAAGCAAGTTTGAAAATATTGCTGCAACACCCATTTAAATGACAAAAATAAAAAACCATAAATATATCATAGAAATAAATTGGGTATTGCACAAATGATTAAAGAAACCTAATTCTTCAGAGACGAAAACAAAGGAAAAGGCGGTTGGGGAGTGGGGAATACTGGAGAATGGGAGATACAAGGAGGGGGGCAGGATGGGGTGGGCAACCAACCCAGGGACAAGGGAACAACAAGTGAGCTAAAATCAATGGAGAGAAGGGCACAGGATGCCTAGTGGAGCTTAATCAAGGACAATATAACAGCGAGGAATTACTAAACCCAAATGAAGGTCGAACACGATAGTAAGAGGAAAGTAAAAGGAAATAGAGGAAAGAACCAAGAGGCAAAGGACATTTATAGAGGTCTAAATATAGGCATGGACATATATAAATATATTAATATATAACGAGAGGGGAATAAACCTATGTACTTATATCTATATGTTAAGAATTAAGGTGGCAGATGGACATTGGGCCTCTACTCAAGTAGTCCCTTAACACAAGAACAATTTGTTCTAATAATCCGGCATTCTGTGATGCTCACCTTCCCGACACAATCACTGAAGACAAAATGGGTGCATAAGTAAATGTGGTAAAGAAAGCTGATAGTGCCTAGCTATCAAAAGATATAGTGTCTGGGGTCTTAAAGGCTTGAAGATAAACAAACGGCCATCTAGCTGAGAAGCAACAAAGCCCACATGGAAGAAACACACCAGCCTTTGTGATCATGAGGTGTTGATGGAATCAGGTATCAGGCATCTGAGACCCAGAACAAAATCAGACCAATGTGAATGTGGGGGATGGGGAGATGAGGAATGGAGCCCCAAAGCCCATTTGTAGACAATTCATTAGACATCCCCTCACAAAAGGCACACGGAAGAGATGAGCCAGTCTAGGTGGAGTATAGCACCAATGACCACAAAACTTTCCTCTAGTTTTTTTGTTTTGTTTTGTTTTAATCATTTTATTGGGGGCTCATACAACTCTTATAACAATCCATACATCCATCCATTGTGTCATTTCCTCTAGTTCTTTAATGTTTCCTCCCCGCCAACTATCATGACCTCAATTCTACCTTACAGATCGGATTAGACCAGAGCATGCACACTGCTACAAATAAGAGCCTGCAACACAGGGAATCCAGGATAGATTAAATCCCTCAGGGCCAACAATGAGAAAAGACATACCAGGAGAATAGGGGGAAGGTGGGGGCAGAAAGAGAGAATCGATCACAAAGATCAACATATAAGCCCATCCCAGGAGGACGAACAACAGAATAGTGGGTGAAGGGTGACAGAGAATGATGTAAGATATGAAAATAATAATCTATAACTTATCGAGGGTTCATGAGGGAGGGAGGGGGAGAAATGAGGAGCTGATACCAAGGGCTCAAGTAGAAAGAAAATACTTTGAAAATGATGGCAACATATGTACAAATGTGCTTGACACAATGGATGATGTATGGATTGTGTTAAGAGATGTAAGAGTCCCTTAAAAAAGTACTTAATAATAATAATAACCTAATTCTTATTTCAGGGATTTCTTTTTTGTTTTTCTATTTAAAATCATTTTATTGGGGGCTCATACAACTCTTATCACAATCCACACATACATCCATTGTGTCAAGCAAATTTGTTGCCATCATCATTCTCAAAACATTTGCTTTCTACTTGAGTCCTTGGTATCAGCTCCTCATCCCCTGCATCCCCACCCCAGGGATTTCTATATAGTAATCATTAACCATCCCAAAGAGATATAATACATTATGAAAAGCATTTATTATTTTAAAAATATATACCATCCATAGATAGTCTTTTCTGAATAAACCTAGTTTCTTCCTCACAATATTTCTGGGGGATAAGATATGATTAAAGGGAAAAAAAGATTCTTATTCCTTTTAAAGAAATAAGAAACAAAAAAAGAAAGAAGAAACCCTGTAGTTAAGCATTGGGTTGCTCATCAAAAGGTCAGCAGCAGTTCAAACTCACCAATTATTTGGCAGAAGAAAGATGAAGCTGTCTACTCTTGTAAAGATTTACAGACTTGAAAACCTTAAGGAGCAGTCTATTGAAGCTCTCCTATAGTTACTACAGTCAGAACTGATTCAATGACAGTGGATTTGGTTTGGGTTTTAGAATATTATGATTTCAATAGTTCAAATGAGTACGAATAAATACTAATACAAATCTAAAAACCCTCTGAAAGACTTAGGCCCAAAAGTATTTCAGATCTGGATATTTCAGAAAGGTAATTTAGTACATATTTGTAATGCACCCAATAGGGTATAAGGTTGTACCCTGAAATCAAACATACTAAAATTTCTGCACCGAAGCATTGAATATTATGAATATAAATGGAATAACACAATGACAAATAGCTTCATGTGTTATTAGCTTGAATAAGGTTTTGCTATTAAATAAGGTATAAAAGACACTCAAGTTTTCAATCAATACGAATTCTGAAACTATGGAAAAACAATTGTACACTTGTTCTAAAAAACCCAACCAACTATACATTCAAGTGAGGATCTCATTTAAAAACTTCAGTTAAATGTTTTATGACTGCAATATTATAAAAGCTCAGTACATTTGCTATTATTTTTTTAAGAAGCAAATATTTAGGACAGTTTGAGGTAAATGGATGGTAGGAATACATGAGTTATCAACATATTTTATGTTCCACCCACTGCCCAATCACCTGATTTTAAACTAAATGTCACACTAATAATAGCAAAGGCATACCTGCATCAGGTTAAATCTTGCCACTTCATTAATAGGAGCATCAGAAATTATTCCATACTGTTCTGGATTGACAACTGCAGGACAAATGAAGCAAGCCAGGAGAAGATCGGTACACATTGCCCTGACCTCCCCAACTTCCAGTCTATCTACACAAGATAGAGTTTTGTACATCTGTGATACAATCCACCTCAAACTATGTGGAAAGCAATATGTGTTCTGTTTGAGATACCCAATAAATTTGTTCACCAAAGCCACTAGTTTGGCCTCATTGGAATCCACCATCTCTTGAACCTTTTGCCTGAATCTGTCTGAGCCTCTCTCTCCAAAGAGTTTTTCCTGTTGAGATGGGGAGTATCTCTCAATTAATTTGTTTGGATCTGTTTCCAGGTGATCTTCATCTTCAACAAGCAGTTGCATGATTGGCTCATGTAGCGTAGCTGTGAGGAAAAGTTTGGCAGAAAACAGTCCTTCAGAAAAAAGTTTAAATAAAATGCTGAAGGCACAAGTTCCTCTCCTCAAAAGCCGCCTGGGGTTGTCACTTTCTTTCAGTTCAAATTCAATCAAGTATCGCAAAACCTGGAGGAGGTAGCTTTCATCTTCTTGCATAATACAGTTGCCATAAAGGGAGGTAAAGACTGTGTAAATAACACTTTGTGTGTTCTCCTGATTAAGTTTTTCTCCCGCAACCAAAGAGGAGGCAATAAGACGAGGATTTTCCCTTAATCGACTCAAGAATTCCCCATAAGCAGTCTCTTGAAATCCTAATTGCTTATATCCATCAACAAACTGTGTATCTTCCAGAATCTTAGCATGTTGGCAACATTCTGCCGGGGAAGCTTCGGCACTGGGGAAAAAAAAAAAGAAGGCGCTCAAATATATTCAAATACTAATATTATTGATAATAACACTTTTCTATGATATCAAAACATGGAAATGAGTTGATTATAATCCCACCATGAGATCACTCTGAATTCCTATAAAAGTTTTAGAACAACAGTATCTCAAATGTGTAAAGAAAAAAACCAACTAGTTTAAAGGAGGACAAATTCTTCATATTAAATCAGATTCAGTGAAAAGTACCAATTTGTAGATCTAACAAAGATTCACTTGTAAAGGTTATATTAAATAAAAGTTGGCTATGGTTAAAAAAAAAAAAGTCTTATTTATGGGCACAAGCTTACTAGAAATAATTGAAATTAAGTCCTTATCAGATACATTAGCTCCATCTTATTCAACCGCAACCTACCAGTATAGAACAGATGTAAACTTCTAATTCTTCAGCCTAGGCTGAAAACCTTAATAAACAAAGCCAAAAATGGGAAGGGGGGAAAAAAACTGTAACAGTGATGCATAGCAGCATTATATTTTTTTAAAAATAAATCCTTTGATCAACTTTTACACCTGCATACACACAGGTAACCAACAACCACCCAGATTAAGAAAAACACATTTTAATCATTCAAAATGTTCCTCCTTCCCAGTCTCTATCACTCTGCCTAGAAACAACAATTATTCTGATCTTTTCATCTAAGAGTAATCCTGCATCCTATTGAATGTCCTACTATGAGGAAGCTTCAGAAAGTTCATGGAAAAATGGGATTAAAAGATAACGTACCATATATACTTGAGTATAAGTCATTTTTCAGCACATTTTTGTTTGTTTGTTTTTGTTTGTTTTTTTAAGACTAGTCAAGTGCAGCAGTGAGGGGGGGTAGACAAATAGGTCGACCAGTAATTGACTGTAAGCAATCGTTGTGAGATCTCACTACCTTCGGACCAGCCTTTTCAGCACATTTTTAATGCAGTTTTTGTAGTAATTAGGTGTCTTGGTGGATATTCGTATCGGCTTATACTCGAGTATAGATGGTAATTTTTCCCATTAACTTCCTGGCGTGTCCTCGTGTAAATGTGTCCTTTGTGTCTGGCTTTCTCAACATTTTACCTTAGCACTACTATTCTTTTTTTTTTTTTTTGCATTTGTATTTTTTTTAATCATTTTATTAGGGGCTCATACAACTCTTACCACAATCCATACACACATCAATTGTGTAAAGCGCATTTGTACATTCATTGCCCTCATCATTCTCAAAACATTTCCTCTCCACTTAAGCCCCCAGCATTAGGTTCTCACTTTTCCCCTCCCTCTCCGCTCACCCCTCCCTCATGAGCCCTTGATAATTTATAAACAGTTATTTTGTCATAGCACTACTATTCTTACAGACAAAAATTTTCTTTCAGTAAGGTATTAAATGTGTAGCTTCTAAAACTAAAAAATATTATATATAATATCAAAACATGAAAATGTATGACTATATATTAATAGAAAAGCAAAACACAATAATTTACTGTACAATAAAAATATTTACAAATTTATATTTAAAAATATAAAATTAATTGATGTGGAATAAAACGCTAATGCTTAATAATAACTTTTTTTAATGGTGTTTAAGTTAAAAAATAAAAACTAAAGTCAATCATTTGAAAGTTGATTTAAGTAACTTTAGTGTAAATATATTCGATTCATTTTAGTTATCAACACAAAAGTATAGTGGTTCACAAAGCCTTTTCTTTACCTGGTTATGATAAGCCGATCCAAATTAATTCTCTGCTGCTTAGCAATCCATGCCGTACGATACAACTTCTCAGCTGTCTTAAGTACATCTGCATTGAGCCTCTGAATGAGCTGTTTCTCAGAGTTTACATATAAGCGTTCCTGCTTGAGGTGATGAGCTAGAGTGTGAATATCTAGCTTCACCATCTTCAAATCTGAAAAGTACAAAGGCTGATCACTAGGAGTAAAAGGACAAACATTTTAAATTATGCAACTGAAATTGTTTACCAAAAGAGATCGGAGAATACAGTAAGAGTTGGACTAGATTTTACAGAACAAAACTCAAAATCATAAAAGGACCAGACTTCAGTCAGATAGATTGGTGGAATCCCTAAGACAAACAGCTCTAGAGTCACCCTTCAAGTTTGGAAATAAACTCACCCCCATGGTGCAATTCTAGGCAAACAATAGACAAATCTATAAATAACACTAGGATATATATGCCTTAAAAAATAAACCCTTTGAGATCAAAAGGAGAGTGGGACCGCCAAGTATAAGCAAGGTTGGCAGTTCAAACCTACCAGCCACTCTGAAGGAGAAAAATAAGGATACTTGCTCTGGTAAAGATTTCTCCTCAAAAAGTCAAACTGCCATCAAGTCAATGTTGACTCATAGTAAGCTCCAATGGGTTTCTAATACTGTAACTGCTTATAGGAGTAGAAAGCTCAGTCATTCTCATCCTAGAATGAGAATAGAACTGATGTTCAGATGGTTTTAATTGTGAGAGGCATCGTTATTTATCAAAACAATACTAAAATGGACTTTTAAAGATTTGTATGCTTCATTAATTAATTTTGTTACTCTCGGTACACAATGTGTATCCTCTGATCCTCACTTTCTTTCAACTATAAAATGGGGACACAGTATCTGGAATTAGTTTGATTGGTACCAGTGATTTAAAAAAAAGAATAAATCCTTTGTACATTAAGAGTTTCTAATCTAGTAGAATGGAGCAGACATGCAAGCATGTAGTTGCATAACATGCTATGGGCATTACATAAGAAGTCTGTACAATGTAGAACAGAGATAAAAGAACAAATGATTAAGGATGTGGGTATCTGAAACTAGTCATAAAAAATATTTGTCACCAAAAAAAAGGCAAACATCTGGCACACATAACAATGACAAACCAAACCCACTGCCAATGAGTTGATTCCAACTCACAATAACCCTATATAGGGTGTTTCTGACACAACATAAATTTTTACAGAAGCAGACAACCTTATCTGTCCCTGGCAGAGTGGCCGGTAGGTGTTAACAGCCCAATGTCTAACTTACAGAGCCACTAAGACTTCTTAAAAAAGGATGACATATGGAGTAAATTTTTAGATTAGGGGGCGAAATCAAGCAAATCACAGAGATATAATATTGGAATTATTATACAATGGTGGTTATTTTAAGAGACATACTTTCAAGGATCTAGAGATGAAGTATCAAGATACCTGCAACTTACTTACTTGTTCATGGCTTAGCAAAAGCGAACGATCAAGAAAATTCAGCATGATGATGGCAACAAATGTTCAAATGTGCTTGACACAGTGGATGTATGTATGGATTGTGTTAAGAGTTGTGTGTGCCTCCAATAAAATGACTTATAAAAAAAAAAAAGAAAATTCAGCAATATGTGAACTAAATCTCAGTGGGTAGGAGAAACAAAAGAACAGGAAAAGAGTACAAGGGGATACACCCCCCAAAAAAAACAAAAAATTGAACACTTCCCCTAAAAGCTAGGTATTTAATTTTTTTTTTACAAAACTATCTATCACCTTCAAAGTACTCTTTATTACACTTAATGTTTGTCCAATCTGAAATCCTATTCTTGGAAGCATTTTTCAAACTCATCTGTTTGGATGGCTGATAGCACCTCCCTTGTTTTTTTTTTCTTCATCTCTTCTACTTCTTCAAATTGCTGTCCTTTCATGTCCCTCTTCATTTGTGGAAACAAAAAGAACTCCCACAGAGAGAGGTCAGGCATGTGGGGCAAGAGAGGCATGTTGTTTTTTGCCCCAAACTGGCTCACTGAGATGGCTGCTTGAGCAAGTGCATTGTCATAGTGGCAAAATCAGTTCCCCCATCTGCCATAAATCAGGGTTTTTTGTCAGACACTGCTACTCAATCTTTTCAGAACCTCTAAATAGAAAGCTTGATTTACAGTCTGACCTGGTGGAAGGAACTCCAAATGCACCACAAGTTGACATTTTCGTCCATTCAGCCCAGCGGAGCTTTTTCTGGTTTGTTTGGTTTTGGTTTTTTTGGGTTTTTGTGGTTTTTTTGGCTACCCCCTCATATATGCTGACAAATTCTTTATTCTCATATTTTAAGCCTGAGAAGCCAGGAGTCTAGGAGGAGGGAAGTCTTCACACTTGTGAGTTAGAGATGAGTCCCAATCACACTCTCATAACTAAACTTAATCCCCACAATATCCTCCCATAATAGTGCTACCTTAAAGTTACTTCTTACAAGCACATGGCTAATTGCTATGTGGCCAGCAGCTTTATCTGTAGAAGCAGACATGCTGCTATTGCTCTCTCTGTTCGGGGGGGGGGAGTCACACCCCATTACTTGCCCCCAGCACTAGTGTTAGGTTACTCCTCCAATGAACTCGGAGACCCTAAAGTTAGGGTGTAGCCCACTCTGTTAAGTATGTGGTTACCTGTAGTTAGGGGGCCTTGCCTGGGACTCTAAGGTGATGTAAAAATACATTCTCCCTGTACTGCTTGTACCTGGTTCCTGATGCCACGGCAGACTTGAGCACCCCAAAACTTCTCTCTCTTAATTTCTTCCCTTCAATTATACAACCATCCTTAGGACCCATCCAGATGTGGGGCTGGATCCCACAACTGGGAAGTACAAAGTACAAAATGATTACTGCTCTACAACAACTTATGAATATGAGAGATTTTTTTTTCAATATTAGAGACTTTAATAATAAAAAATAGAACAAAATATTTCCCTCCTTCTTGCTTTTATTCAAGTAAATTCAACAAGTGTATTATGAATTTTACTGGAGCCCAGCCAGGTCCCCTAATCTCAAGGAGCTCACAGTCGAATTACAATTCAACTATTGTACAAGATAAAGATAAAGAGCATAAAATGTTTTCAATGACATAGCAAAATATGAACTAATACATGAAACTGAGAGATATGTTTTCAAATACAGCTTCACTTACAAATAAATAAACTTTGCTGCTTTTCATTCTCTGATAAGCTGGTCAGAATGATGTCAAAAACAGATGTGGCATACCTACATATAATACTTTTAAAAATATCGTTGTATAAATGTGCCATCTAAACCACTGGGTAAAAATCAAGAGACTTAAAATATAAATGAATCCTGATCTATACTCTGACTATGGTTTTGTAGTACATGTCAGATTACAATGATATTTTATTTCTATTTCTCTCTCTCCCCCACTGACTGTAAACACTGTGGGTAAGTACTAACTCCATTGTGTGTGCTAATATAGCTGATGGCAGGTAGAAGAAGCTCAGCACAAAGCATATAGGGCCATATGTTTTGAAAAATTAATACCACATCCTTCTTAACAAGTCATTGCTTATAAACAAAATTATTTTATGAAAAAGAATTTGAAAATGTAAAAGATAAACAACCTCTTTATAATTGTTCTCCCTTCCAAGATACCAACAGGTGTAGTAGCTGCCACCAGGGAAAGCTGAACTAAAATTTAGGAATGAATTAACTACAAGTGGAAAATTTTACCATAATGAAAATGGTAGGAAAATACAGTTACTAGCAAATAACTCCTGAAAATTACTAATATCAGTAACAAACTCATAATAACATTAGCATTAAAGTAACATTTTAAAAGACTACTTATGCCAGAAGCTCACTTAATCCTCACAATTCCTTGAACATAGTACTATCATAAATTTCATTTAAACAGTTGAAAAAAGTATTGACACAACTGTTATAAAGTCAAGATTCAAAGAGACTCCTATCTGTCCAATTCCAATGAAGTCCTTGCTCTCAATCAATCAATCTAAAGTTATCTACTTTTACTTCAAAAAAGAAAACCAAAGTCACTGTCAACAAGTCAATGCTGCCTCACAGCAACTCTACAGGTGTAACTGCTCTTTTGAGCGTCCAAAACTGCAACTGTTCACAAGAACACGGCCCCATCTTTCTCTCACTTTTATTCCCAGTTGTTAATAATTGACTCCTTAGAGTTCCTTTTGCCTATTAGTCTATACAACACTTTTTCTGGTTGTGGTAACAGCTACTTAATTTGAGTTTTCATTCAAATACTATATAAAACACAGGTGTTTCCAACCCATATCTCTTGGTTGAAATTAAATCCTTCTCACTTTATAACCAAAACTTCTTGAAAGATAGACTACTTGCTAATCTTATGGAACTTACACTTGTAAAAAACTTGTTAAAAGTGAAATTAAAGGTCAATTTCACAACCTAAGAACATTATTACCACACACAAGTATGGCGTTTAAAGTCTAGAATAAAGCACACTTTTGCAGATAAACTGATTATCTCTAATGCACAACGATCCCATTAAAAATTCCGTAAATAATGCAAATTAAAGGTAACAGAGGAAGGAAGGCTTATTAACAATTTGTGACATGCATATGGCACCCTTACTGGCTGAAAGTGAGGACTAGAGGTAGTAGCTGATGAAGATCAAGGATTACAACTTGAAATTTCCATTGCTACCTTACATTTTGTACTATTTCAATTTAAAAAAGGCAAATATATTTCCTACTCCAAATGTCTAAGAAAATCTAATTTTGTCTAAGAAAATCTAAATTTTACATTACCTTTCTCCCTTTACTAGAAAATACTCAAGATTATCATCTGCCTCCCTTGCTGCTTTTGAAATACATGGTCTTTCTAAAGTACAAATCTAGTCATGCTACTCTCTATTACCTATAAAACAATGTCCAAAATCTGCTACATGGCATCAAGCCGTCCACCATAAGGTCTCTATTTTTATATCTCCAAACTTATCTCCCACAATTATCCACTTCCCTAATTTAGTTGTTGCTGCCATAAGTTCCACAGAAAACACATCCAAAAGTCTCCAAAATTTGTAAATTTGTAAATGCTACATGCTTGGGAAGTCCAGGCGCTTATCCTTTAAGGTCCAGCCCCCATGTTTCAGCCCAACGTGAAGCTCTTCAG